CACTTTAGAAAAATAACTTTGACTAAGAATGGACAATGAATTGGTTTAGTTACTCATCTTAATGCGATATCCTATTTGCGTTATATAAAAGGGAAAATAATTATATATCTTGAAGAGGTATTAAAAATCTTATGGCTTATTTCCCCTTTTGTTTAGCAAGAGGACAAAAGTTCAAAAAATATTTACCTACTTCTTTTAAATGTTCAGAAGAGACTAACTCTGATCTTCTTAAACTGTCAAATTAAGAAATAGGAACTACTTAATCATTTTGAAATTCTCCAAGTCCTATGTTGAGGTTCACCAAATTAAACAGAATTCCAAAAGAATATGGCAATACTAATATTTTTAATCATGGTTTCTATCAGCTTTAAAGCCTAGAATCATTGCAAATATTTAGCTTTTGTGCAGTGAATTTAATCAAACCACTGTTGTTGGTTTTTTTTTCCTTCACAACTATTAATTTGGCAGATTGTTTTTGTCAGTTAAATATACAATAATTTAGAAAGTGAGGGATGACAAATTTGTTGAGATTTAAGGCAAAATCAGGTACCACTAACTGCAAATGTTCTGTGTGCCTTGGAAGATTCTATAAACATTTACCACAGAGAGAATGAACATGGTTCTGGTTTCAGGCCAGGGTAGGGGTACTGAGGAGACGACAGCCTTTGAAAAGCAGCTTCCGTCACTTTCTCTCATGCTGTGAATTATTTAGAAAACACAGAAAATGACCACCTGGTGACTTGCCGGTCATAAAGAGACTGTGTGCTGAGATTTGCAGCTTGGCACTGTCTACATGACTGGGTAGGTGATGCCACAGCATTTGGCAACATCAGGCAGTGTTACAATGTCAAAGGTCACAGGCACACTGGCTTGAGACAGAATTGTAAACCAGGTGAAGATCTTTCTCCCGTTGGGTCATTTCCTTGCCTGTGCCCTCGGATGTCTTTCAATATATTCCAGACCTCCCAGGGGCTGGTGCCTTCATCTGCTCTCCGGGTGTCAGGCTTCCCAAGGCCGTCCAATGGTCTTCCTCCGGGGCCTCCACCCTTTCTCCAATCAAAGCTGGTCTGCCCAGTGCCCTGCTCCCTCATTGTCTGCTAGGCCTCATCCTGCGTGACCTAATAAGTTAAGTCAATGTATATTATAAGGCTTCATAGTTTCCAAAGTTTAAACAAGTTAGAAAAGTAGAAATATCAGGTATATGTTAGGTCCAGGTTGAAGATTTGTTTTGGAGAGGGAAGGAAAGCAGTCTTTCTTCAGGCTTCTCACATTACACCTAGAAGGTAGGTCGCCATTTTTTTTTTAGAACTTTTATAAGAGTTTTTTGAGCCAAATTGACAACGTATGCCAGGGGCAAGATTTCAGGTGTTCCCCAGGTAGGTCTTGCTTTGCGTTTCCACAAAAGCATTTTTTTAGCTGAATTTATTGGGGTGACATTGGTTAATAAAGTTATATAGCTTTCAGAACATCATCTGCATATTGCATTGTGCTCACCACTCCAAGCAAGTCTCCTCCCATCACCAGTTAGTCCCCTATTCCCTTTTCTACCTCCCCCATCCTCCTCCTCTAGTAATCACCATGCTCTTGTCTCTCTATGAGGTATTTCTTTGTTTGTTTGTTTGTTTGCTTAATCCATTCATCTTTTCACCTAGTCCCCCAACCCTCCACCCCTCTGACAGCTATCAGTCTGTTCTCTATCTATGAGTCTGTTTATATTTTGTTTGTTAGATTCCATGTATGAATGAAGTCATATGGTGTTTGTCTTTCTCTGACTGGCTTATTTCACAAAGCATAATGTTCTCCAGGTCCATCTATTCTGTTGCAAAGGATATGATTTCCTTTCTTTTTTATGGCTAAGTAGTATTCCATTGTATAAATGTAGCACAGCTTTTTTATTCACTCATCTACTGATGGACACTTGGGTTGCTTCCAAATCTAAATGAAACTATTAATATGTATCTCCAAGAAGATAATTAAAACTTAAGCATGGCATCTTATGAGTCTTTAATACATGAAATCTGAACACATTCTTGCTGAAGAAGTGCAAAAGCTCCCCAAAGCAAGTCAGTCCATTGAGAATTTGCAAGGTGACTCTAAGGATCAAAGTGAGGTTTTTGGCTAAAAGGATATTTGAAGTTTCCCCATGGATGTAGGACTTAGCAAGCTTAAGGCATACTGCCTAGTATACAATCTGTTTTTCATTTTAGCTTAGATCGGATGATCCTTTCTGTTCCTGATTTCAAGTCAGATCTCTGGGGAGATTGTCAAATGGCATCTTATTTTCAAAAATTTGAAATGCATGTGCACGCACAGAGCTGGGGTTGTGAATGGGAATGCGCAAGAGTACTTATAAAACTGCAGCACCATTGTAGAATGTCAGAGCAGGAAGGCACACCAGCGACATCCTACCCTGGTGTGGTCAAAAGAGGGCCAAAGGCTTGAGTTTAATTTGGGCCTCTGCCAAGAACTAACTGTAATTTTTAAAAGTCCTACTATTTCTCTAACCTCACATTTATTTTCTACAAAATGGAGTTCCATTAGATAATTTCTATATTTCTTTAACTTACTATCTCCCTACAAAGGCCAAGCAAACGGAGACCTAGAGAAGTTAAATGACGTCTAAGTAACTAGTGCCAGCCCATCTCTCCAGTCCTGAGGTGCCGCATTCTTTCCATTAGGTTTGAAGAAGCTGAGAGAATGACTCTTCGTTTTTATTGTTTGTTTATTTTTCCTGTTTATAAAGATTTTTTTTTTTGCATTGAGCAGCAAGGTTTTGTGTGTGTTTTTTCTTTCTGTCTTTTTTCCTTTTAGAGATTTTGTAAGAAGAAATGAGCTTCCCCGTCCGATTCAGTATATTTGCTGGTCACCTATTGGGAGTAAATTAGTAAGTATTTGAATTATAGAAGTATTTAATCCTTTAAATAAAAGAGGAGCCATTTGATTTTGGCCTTTGGTAAATTCCTTTGCTAAAAAGAAAAAAAACTAAATGTATTACTATTTTTCAGTGGTTAAAAAAACAAGAAGAGTTTTGATAAATTGAAACCCATCTGAGAATTCCGCAAAATCTCAAGCTCATGGATAGACTTCTTTAAATATCTCAGTCAGAAACTTTATCCTTATACTCAGCCAGAATGCGTGGTGCCAGAAAGCTCAGGAAAAATATGGTTTTCACAAGTCTCCCAGTCTAGCTTCAGACAACATGAAATGTTGTCCAAGCTCTTATTTAAGGATTCTAAATAAAGATTAGATCTGGCTAGCTATTAATATTCAGAGATTGATTTTACTTTCTGTTAATATATATAAAATTATTTACTTGGGTAATAAAACCATGAATAAAATAATAGACATTATTCTTTATTTGACATAGACTTTAAAAATCATAACAGATGATAATGTGAGTCAGTTGTTGTTTTTTGACCTATTAAAGTGAGGTAGTACTTGTGAGTTTTTTTGCATCTGAATTGCTGCACTTTTAAAAGTCATTAGGTCAATAATTAACACAACTATACAGACTTAATTGTATTTCTTATGGAATTTCCCTGTATTTACTAGCTTACCGCCACTTTCAGGCATATGTGTATCAGAACAATATCTATTTGAAACAAAGACCAGAAAACCCACCTTTCCAAATAACATATAATGGAAAATAAAATAAAATATTTAATGGAATCCCAGAATGGGTTTATGAAGATAAGCTGTATTCTTCTTTCTACTGCTGCTGTGTTAGGCTTTTAATTGAAAATAATTGCATACATTTAGGAGCATTTTGATGAGGGTTATGCTGCTGAGATGAATGGTGGCATTTCTGAAAGCTGTTATCTCTGCTGTGAACAGGACGTGCATGTTCTGAAAGAATAAAATCTTATCAGACTGGTAGAGTTTATTTTTAATGAGCGTCAGATAGTGGTAGTAACAATTTATATTCCAAGAAGTTTATGGTCTGTAAATGCTGTGTTAGATCATTTTCTCAGGTTTGTTTTTTCTTAAGAAAGAAATATTTTTTTCCAAAACTAAACAACCGTTTATATTATTTTGTAGGAAAATACCCTTAATTTGTTTGCTTTTGTGAATTTTGTCCTCTTTCTAGGTTCTATAAGATCCAGGAAATAACTGGACTTTAAAAAGGTTTTCTGGTCCTTACTTTTTATTAAATAAATATATAACTTACCTGTTTTTTAAAAAAAATAATATTCCCAGGAGAGATTGTCAACATTCAATGTTTATGTTACTCTGTAGCATAATTACAGTTTCCTTGTTTTGGCTATTTTAGGTGACTATAAGAACCAGAAGTTGCCCCAAAGGGAAAAATTAATTCCTGTTAATATGTTTATTATTTATTTATTTTTATTTTTATTTTTTTAAATATATTTTATTGATTTTTTTTACAGAGAGGAAGGGAGAGAGAGAGTTAGAAACATCGATGAGAGAGAAACATCGATCAGCTGCCTCCTGCACATCTCCTACTGGGGATGTGCCCACAACCCGGGTACATGCCCTTGACCGGAATCGAATCTGGGACCTTTCAGTCCGCAGGCTGACGCTCTATCCACTGAGCCAAACCGGTTTCGGCTATTATTTATTTTAAAATTACATTTCTGGTTAATGTCAAATCCTAAGAAGTCTGTTTGATAAAGGGTATAATGCTAAACTATTCCTCTAAAACCAGATTATTTATCTTTTAAAAACCAAAGTAGGACACATGTCACATCTACATTAAATAAATTATTTTGGGCAATAATGGATATATACAATGTATTTTAAAATATTTATAATGACTTTAAGAGTAAGCTCCAATTATAATTAATATACTAGTATTTATTTTTCAGAGGAAATGCTTGCTTCAAAATATGCTCTCTGGTGGTCTCCGAATGGAAAATTTTTGGCATATGCAGAGTTTAATGATACAGAAATCCCAGTGATTGCCTATTCCTATTATGGTGATGAGCAATATCCTAGGACAATAAATATTCCATACCCAAAGGTATGTTGAATACTTTTAGCAGATGCTTCTATTTCCCTGGTGTCAAAATGAGCAACCAATACTATGAAGAGAGGTGGGACCAACAAGTCTGGAGAGCTTCTTATCCTTGTGCATTGTGAAGCAAACATTGTACTGTGATCTATTATTTATGTGGACATCTGTTGCTTTGGACATCTGGTTGTGCTGGATGAAGTCATCTTTGCTAAATTCTATTGCAGAAGCTTTGAAAAACATATGGTCTAGATCATGGAGGAAAAACAAGCTGAACTTAAATTTAATTTTTTCATATTTCATGCTCCGAATTCAGGGTAAAGTTCTGTTTTGCAGTTCCTTCTTAAATTCCCATGTAAATGCAAGTTTGAATGGGGAATACAAATGTTGAACTTGATGTTCCTGTCAGGTAGAAGCAAACATGAGTTATGCTCTTTTCTGGACATAAAAGGTAGCTTAAATTTGTGAGCCTTGAGTGAATTAGACTGGGTGTGAGTCCAAAGACTTCTGCATAAACATTCTAGAAGTCTTAGTGTACATACTTTTCATTCATTCCCATGTCTGTATGTGCAGTTGGAGAATGGCCAGGTCTCAGTGGAGAATATCATGTCCTAATTTAATTTAGACAGTAAGTCTGAAAGGAGATCAAATCACAAATTCTCCTCTTGCACAAGGAGTGAAAGTGATTTTAGAAAGTAGCACAATGTCTTTTCGTCCCCATTGTTTTTTTTAATATATATTTTTTATTGATTTTTTTACAGAGAGGAAGGGAGAGAGATAGAGAGTCAGAAACATCGATGAGAGAGAAACAACGATCAGCTGCCTCCTGCACCTCTCTTACTGGGGATGTGCCCGCAACCTAGGTACATGCCCTTGACCGGAATCGAACCCGGGACCCTTCAGTCCTCAGACCGACGCTCTGTCCACTGAGCCAAACCGGTTTTGGTCCCATTGTTTTTACTTGTCAGAGGACACTGCCATGGATGGACCCAGTGGGTCCCTATGTGACAGAGATGAGATGGATATACCTACCCACTAGCAGATTCTGAAGTGGCCATAGCGACAGAAATAGAAATGTTACACAGTTTAAAATTCACTTTAAAGTCGTAGGAGAAACATTAAGGAATAGAGATGAGTGTTTAGGTAGAAGACTTCTCAAGGGCTGACTATAAAGTCTGGAAGCTGGAGATGGTTAGAAGCGAGAGATGTAATACTTGGGATCCAGGATGTAAAAGGACTTGGGTCTTTAGGAAGGTGAAAGGGAGCAGGAAGTGATGAAGAACTGAGGAGTAACTGGCACTGACAGAGAAGTTAGGACCCAAATTCCCATGTTTCTTTGAAGACTAAAGTTCCTAAATCATCTGACTTTGGACTGAGAGGTGAGACTAGTTGGAAGAAGCAAGAAGTTCCAGCTGAGCCTTCAGTAAAACAGGGGGTCAGAGGAAAACGTGCACAGTCCTTAGATAAATCCAAACAGCACGGAGTCATTTAAGACTACTGACCTAAACAGTTGATTAAAGTTATTTAACAATTACAAGACTCTCTTTTACTGTGGTAAAATAACAGAGAAGCTATAAGAAGCTGTTTGAGCATGAACTATACTGTCATATATATTTAGGGTGTATAACAGCATAGAAAACATAAAACA